CTTCACCCCTGATACCCCACCTCACCCCCTGTCACCCCCCAGGCCCCAGTGGTGTTGCAGCTGGCGGAGGCCCTGGCGGTGGTGGCGGACCACTCGCGCTGCGTCAACACGGACCACGCACTCAGGCGGCGCATCGCGCTGCAGCAGGCAGAGGACCGCGTGGCGGAGGACAGGTGGGCGCGCCCCGCGCACTGGGGGTGCCAAGGCACTGCTGGGCCACTGCTGAGGCCACCTTGCACGGCGTGCCGACAGAGGGCCTTGCATTGGTGGGGGCTTCCGGCTCTGTCGATTTTGCAGCCGCATCAGCAGGCACGAGTCCATGCCCACGTTTCAGTTGAAAGGCGTACATCACACCAGCGCTCTGCTTGCGGCGCCTCCCAATGTCCTCCCTCTTGCGCAGGTGTGTCCCGGACCCGCCCCTCCTGCGGCAGGAGACTGAGGCGTGCCACACGCAGCTCTCGCTGCTGCTTCACCTGGCCAGCGGCGCGGGGTGCTCAGAGGCGGAGCGTGTCGTTGAGGTGAGGGGCACGGCTGCTTGTTATTGATTGGGGGCAGGCGCGGCCCTGGAGTCTGGCATCAGGCATCCATGGAGGGTCTCACACTGTTACCCTGGCCCTGCGTTGCTTGATCAAGTAATGCCCAAGCCGCGCCTCAGCCTCCCTGTTGCCCGCCGTCCCCTTCGCCCACCGCCAGGCGCAGCGGCGGTTGGAGGCCCTCACCTTTGGGGTGCTGGAGCGCTTCGCCAACGGTGCGCCGCCCTCGGGCCAGCAGCAGCAGCAGCAGCAGCAGCCGGCGCGGCCGCCGGCGTCAACGGAGTTGGTGGCCTTTGCGCCGCTGGTGACGTCGGCTCTGAAGGCTCTGGCGGCGGCTGGCGACGGCGCCTTCCGGCGGCAGCTTCCGGACCTGTTCCCCGTCTTGGCGCGGCTGGTGCAGTGCGACCACGCCACACCAGACGTGCAGCGCGCGCTCAGCGACCTGCTGATGGGCCGCGTGGGGCCACTGCTGGGCTCGGGCGACGCCGTCACGCAAGCGGGATCAGGCGCCCTGCTGGCGGCGACGAGCTGCGGCTGATGGTGCGGCGCGCCCCCACCGCTTCCCTGTGCTGCGTGAAGGCTGAGTGGGGTGAGCTGACCTTGTCGACTGACGCTGTGCCTATGGCAATCACGACGGATGCTGCGACAACTGCTCCATTCATAGGGCTGCGCTGCCATAGATGACAACATATGACGTGTGTAAGACGACGCTACCACCTCTAGAAACAAGTGGCAGGCATTGCCCATTTGCGGTGGCAGGTCAGGCCCACAGCTTTGAAAGGTTTTGGGGTTGCACCGTTCTGGCCGCAGCTGCATCTTTCTGTTAACGTTAGTGTATTCACGGCAGCCCAGGTGCACCTATGCAGCCAGAGCCTACTTACAAGCCCAGCCGGGCGCCTGCCCGATGGTACAGATCATCAGTCGTGTTGTTGTTTCAATTACAGTCGGATGCGCCAGGGCACCAGTTGGCCAGGTTCACAGCAGCAATATGCAGGTGTCGCGTGTCAGAATCACATCAACAACCCTGGCGTGGCCCCACGGTGCGCGTGCCACGCCCGTCACTCAAGGCGCCTTCTTAGGGGCGGGCGTGCTGGGGCCGCTGGAGCTAGTGACTGAGGCAGTAGCTTTGGTGCTGGTGCCGACTCCGCTGACAGTGGTGGTGGTGGTGCCGTTGGAAATTTCGACGCTGGTGGAGGGCAGCGTCACGTCGGTTGTCAGGCCGCCCTCGACGCTGGGGGTGGCGGTGCCTGAAAGTGTGCCCTGAGAGGGGCGCAGGGCAACAAGGAATACAAGTGCGGCGGTCAGGCGTTTGGTGACGGCTCAGCTGCAAGGCAATTTCCTCGATGCTAGTGCTGCACAGCAATCGCACTGTCACGTCTGCTTTGAGCAGCCAAACGACAGGCCTGCTGCTTACCTGCAACTTGGCCGATCGCCCGACCCCATCTCACCGTGCCTGATAGGGACAGCGCCGGAGACAGGTCCAAAGCCGCCGTAGGTTTGAAGGCAGCGGCAAGGTTCAGAGCCCCCTGCAATGCATGGAGGGGCACGTTGGTACCGGTTGGGATGCCGGGTGTGCCCAAAGCGATTTCTGGCCTGATGCGACCTCACAAGTTAGTGCATCCGCACACCAGTGCACTGAGCCCAGGCACGGTATTTGCAGCTTAGCCAGTGCACCGTTGTGCTCAGTCAAAGCTGCACCCCTCGCATTTCCCAGCCCCACTGGCTGCGCACCGCGAGGTTGAGCCGCGGGTTGAGGATGAACTTGACCTTCAGGTCCTCGGGGTTGATCGTCACACTGGGGGCCTTTGCCTTGGCAGCGCCATTGCTGTTGCGCAGCGTGGAGGCCGCCTGCGTCGCAGTAGGACGTTTGCATTTGAGCCCAGAGGTGGTCCAAAGTGCACGCAGCGAACGAATGCACTGCACAGCTGGTACCCATTTGGCGCTCAGCACTGAACCCAGCTTGCCAGCCGCAGCAGCATCATCAGCCATATCTCATCACCAACCGTGCTCCGCAGGAAATCCGTGATGCTGCTGGAGTACTGCTGCAGCTCGCGGGCATGGGCGCCAGGGGCGGATCCCAGGCACACCAAAACCAGGAGTGCCGCCGCAGCGACGAATGTGCGGGCCGCCATGTTGTCTGCGTTTGATGCTGCGCTCAAAACTATACGTGCGTTACCATACGTGCGTAGATCAGCGAAATCCAGGGACTTCGACCAATACTACGTACCAATGAAAATGAGCGGCATTGGGTTGGGCCGTCCGAGGGACTTGGCACGTTCAAGACGACCGCAAAACATTGAGAAGTGGTGGAAAATGACATTGTATTATACAAATTGGTATGCTTCATGGATTGCACCGACAGGTCAGCCCGGCCTGGCCTGAAAGGCAAGAGTACCCGCTCCCTGGCAGGTCGGAACGGATACAGTACCCCGAACCCCCACACGCGATCCGTTGCACGCCAAGCTAATTGGTTTCATCTTTGCACTGAGCTACTATCTTTTAAAATTGATGTGCGCATGTGCACATTTGCCATGCAATTCAAGCATGAGAGCGTGCTTGCCAGTACACACACAGTAGACACATGAACAGCGATGCCATACAAACACACATCATTCAAGATGACTAGCACGTGTGGAAGCAAGCCCTGCCCTTGCATTGTCACACTACAAGCTGCTGAGCCTGCCGCTCTTTGTGGTAAAAGTGGATTGCATGCTTGCGCCATCCCTTCTTTTGCACATGTGACCCCCGGGTCCCCATGAGCAATGAATAGTTCACCACATCTGTACCAACGTGTGTGCTGCCGTGGGGCAGTCCATCGCCAAATCAGCAACCCTTGGTCATAAGCACAAACATGTATTGCCATATCGCACTCAGCTTTTGTGACAAATCACCATTCGAACTATTCTTGGCATCAGTTGCTGCCTATTTGACCTCATCAAAAGGAGCGCCCACCTGCCTTGCCACATCCCTGGGTTCTATGTATGTACACAATAGACCTGTACCCCTGTAATCAAAGGCAGAACTCAGCCCCCCTGAGAGCGAGAGAGAGAGAGAGAGAGAGAGAGAGAGAGAGAGAGAGAGAGCGAGAGAGAGAGAGAGAG